GCTCTCTGGTCTGTTGCAGCAGGATCCCATGACACTGATACTTCAGGAAAAGAGAAGACCTGCCCTGTATAGGATTTGGTGAGCAGACTCGGAAAGGAAACTCAGAGTCAGTATATGTCCTGGCCTTAGAAGCCTAGTGTGAGCCAATGGCTAGATGGTACACAGATTGTCCTAGTCTTGCCAGATCACTGCTTGTGTGTGACATGGAAATCCAAGGCCATCATTTTGGAGTCACAAATCAGTAAATGGAGTCTTGCACCTGTCTCCTCTTGGGTGTGGAGCATGCAGGTATGGGAATTTGGGGGCTGAGACTCAGACCCCACCCAAGTCCAAATCCTTCTTGAATTTGACAGTTGAGGATGCTACAACTAACCAGGTCTTGGCAAGTCTCTGTCCACTGCATTTTCCCCATGCTTCTCAGGGTCCAGCCACTAGAAGCATTGACTGCCTGGGCTTCCACGTCATTGCATCCAAGCATGTCAGGATAGTTTTCCTGTGAGTGCTGCTCTCAAGCTGTCTAGTAGACAGATGGAAGTCATGAAATTTGTGGGTTTTGATATGATCAGGAAGCTATTCCTCTTAACTGCATCCTTTAGTCTTCACCATGAAATGTCCCAAAATCTCAGGCTCTTCCTCAAGGTGTAGGGATGCAAGTAAGATAGGATGTCTAAAGAAATGAGAGCACCATGGAGGTTGAGTCTACACATCAAACGAAGCTGTTAACAGAATGTGAGGGAATCTTTGCTAACTAAATATCTGAGAGAGGATTAGTATCAAGACTATACAAAGAACTCAAAAATCTAAAGACCCAAACAACCTGGTTAGTCAGTGGTCTCATGAAATGAACAATCAAGTGTCAAATAATGAATTACAATGAACAGATGAAAAAGCACAACAACCTCACTAGCCTTCAGATAACAGTGAACTAAAAGTAAACTGAGGTTCCTCTCTTCCCAGCTAGAATGACAATCATCAAGAAAACCAATAACAAACACTGGCCAGGATAAGGACAGAGAGGAACCCTTGCACACTGTTGGTGGGGATGCAGATTAGCTCTGGCCAATATGGAAGTCAGTATGTAGGTTCCTCAAAACCTAAAATTAGATCTATCATATGACCTAGCTATACCTCTCCTGGGTATTTACAAGGACTCCAAATTAACATGACTACAAAAGGCACCTGCACAAAAGATTTTCCTATAGCTCTATTCACAACAGCCAAGTTATATAACCAATCTAGCTATCTATTCAATTAGTAGAGAAAATGAATAATAAAGTTTTTTTCAACCATAAAGAAAAGCAAAATTATGTTGTTTGCAGGAAAATGAATACAACTGGAGATTATCATGTTGAGTGAATTAAGCTAGCGTTGATAAGACAAATAGCACATGTTTTCTCTCCAATGTGGGTCCTATATTTTGTATAGATCATGAATCATGTGTTTGCATAGAGTGTGAAAGGAGAAAGGAAACTGCCCAGAGCAGTTGTTTTCAATCTTCCTAATGCTGTGACCCCTTAACAAAGTTACTCATGTTGTGGTGACCCCCATTTATTTTTGTTGCCACTTCATAACTGTAATTTTGCCATTATTATGAATTATAACATAAATATGTTTTCTGGTGGTAAAAGGATTGTTCAACCCCCAAAGGCCTCATTACCCACAGGTTGAAAACTACTAGTCTAGGGGACGAAGGAGTGAGATGGATAGGGAGAAGGAAGAAGGTCATGAGCATGAGCTGGGAGTATGCTCAGCATACAGGATGCGCTTGTGTGGAGTGTCCTATGTAACAGCACCGTGACAATGAACACATACAGCAGCTTCTTTAAGGGAAGGGTTGATGGATGGAAAGAGACACAGGGAGATTAGAGAGGTTGTAGCAAGATGGTTGAGCAGCCAGAGGAGGAGATGGATGCGGAGACACAGAGGAGACCCTTAGAGGACCAGCCACACCTATGCAAAGACCTAAAGGCAGAAAGAAGCTGATTCTGTGATGTGGGACCGAGGGCCACATGGAACAGAAGATCAGAGTACTTGAATAAAGACCTAGTTAGCTACTGCTCTCTGTGTGACAACTGGGAAGTCCTGCCCTGTCTCTGTACTTGTGTCTTCAACTTTGAAATGAGGGCAGGGAGTCATGCATGTCTGTGTTTCTCACATAGGAAGGAAGAGGCAGAAGGATCCAGAATTCAGAGACATTATCAGCTATGAAGTGGATGTAAGGTCAGCCTGGGATATGTGAGATCATATCCCAAACCAAATAAACAAACAAACCAAATTTAAAAAGGAAGGCAAGCCATCCTCTTATATGCTGGTTACACATAATGTTATCATGCCTGTGTCTACAAACAGTTCAGACTCATAGAGAGCCATGGGATACTAGGCACAGAATCAGCCAGGCAGGCCCAATGGCAGTCTTACTTTGCCAACAATGCTGGTGACCATGCATAAGTATGCCAGGCTCAGTGAATATGAACATCATACTGGGCCAGCTCTGCACAGATGTCAATTGGAGATGCAGGAGTAGCAGATGGACCTGAGGTATGTGTAGCAAGACTACCTGGAGTGCCTTCCTCCCAGAAAGTTCTGTGATCTGTATGCAAGGGGGAGGACAATGGCCAGCTGCCACCTTGATGGCAGCTTCAAGCAGAACCAGTGCTGTCACCTTGGTCTTTCCCAGTAACTACCTCTCCTATATCCATCACCATGAGTGGGGAAGAAGAAGGTGCTAGTCACAAGCAGGCAAGAACCCTCTAGTACCCAGTCCAGACCACTATGCCAACCTGCCAGAGCTGAATTTCTTAGAAGCACATGGGTTTATTCACACTGCTTCTCACTCTCTACCTGTTCCTTCTCTCCTACTCCAGGCCCAGTTGCAGTCTTCTCAGTACTCAACAGACACACACAGCCACCCTGGGAAGGCTGGCAGTGAGTGAGGCTAGTGGAGACCATGTACCTACCATCTTTGTCCAGACAGGCTCTACCAAGGCCAGGGTGGCCTTCACTGACCCTAGCATTCCCTCCATGTCTTCTTCCACAAAGCTTACTCCAGTGCCAGCATTGGTATTGTCACTATTTGTTCTCTGTCCTCTCTGGGTAAGAGAGGACAGAAAGGCCCTATGTATCGGGAGAAGACACAAAATTGACTCTCCTGTAAGAGTTTCTCCAGTGCTCCCCTAGGTCTCCTCCCCCCCTGAACTACTCTGCAGAGCCAGGGTGTGCCACTGTGGCCAATGGGAAAGCTGGAGGTAAAAGAGGATACCATATTTATACTAGCATACAAAATTAATCAGGGTCTGACCTTGACCTCCAAGAGCCAGGTTCCTTCTCTTTTGGGGCTTCAAGACCTCCAAGTGACCTTACATGTCCTCTGTTTTGAGAAATTTGAGATCATCTCTGTGTCCCTGGTAACCAGCATGCTTCATCTCTGTTCATCCCTGACGTGGGAGGTCAATGCAATATGGAATATAATATATTATTTACAAGAGTAAGAACTTACACACAAGCTGGGGAGTCAGAAGCATGGCAGGCTTCCAAAAGAGGAGGAGAGAAGAAAGTTTCGTTTTCTCTTTCACTTCCTTTTATCTTCATCTGTGCTAAATTTCCTATCCCGCCCTTATGGGTGGATAGCTTTGTGGGGCTCCCCCCCTACATAGTCCCCTTCTTCTTTGTCTACAAGATAGAGCCATACTAAATGCCCAAGCCATTCAATATGCCTGGGATTCTGAACTGACCTCTAGCCTGTGTGAACTTCACAGATTCTTAAACAGAAGTGTGTTTAAGGGTGTGGGCTTCCAGCCAAGTCAGAGAACATGAAAATCAAGATAATGAAACCATGGGAACACAAGGACACCAGGAAAATCATCAGAGGTCAGGTCCAAAAACATACAGGTCCAAGGCACACCCCAGGTACAGCTTTGTGTCTCAGAACATGAGAGCCCAAGGAGCCATGGAGACCCATCTGAGCCAAGAAGAGGAAACAGAGCTGTCCATGGGTCTCCATCCCTGCCATTTGGCCAGGATTCATGTCTGTAAATACTCTTGTGTCTGAGAGAGTAGAACAAGGAGAAATTACACAGGGAGTCAGAAGGAAGAGCCAGCCTAGGAAGGGGCAGAAGGCTAGGTTCAGCAAAACACAGCCCTGAATATGGGAGAGACTGAGGGTCTTAGGAGAATGGGTGAGCTCTGACAGAAGGTTGTGGCTGCTGTGGTGGTGCCTCCCAGATCCTTTGAGTGAAGGAAATCCTCATTCATTTAACCCCTAGTGCTCACCCTCCAGCTACAGAGAGACCTGTAACCCAAGATCTGCCTCCTCCTTGGAGAGTCCCATGGTGTGAGTGAGCAGTGGGACAGTAGGAGGGTGAGAATCCCTCTTGGGAAGCGTCAAAGATCTTCTGTAACCAGCCTTGCCCACAGAACTGGCTCAGTATCTACTGAGATGGCATCTCCCTAGCTCTTCCCTCTGTCCAGCCTGCTTCCTTCTTTCCCAGTGCACATGTGGTCTTAAGTTATTCTTGCAAGTCCATTACCAGCAAAGCCCCAATACAAGACTCCCTGCCAGGAGGGAAGCCTACATCATAGCTAAGGCTGTATATCTGTACATCAGGTACCTTGCTCAGCATTTCCTTGCATTATCTCACTCATTCTCAGACTTTATGACATGTTTTTATGTCCACTGTACGGATGAGGAATCTGAGGCTCAGAGACATACAGAAAATTAGGCAAAGTCACCCAGCCACTAAGTAACAGAATATTTATATTAAACCAGGCCTATCTGATAACAACTCCAATGGCAGGGTCTGTGGTACCCCAAAATAAGACATGGTGGATTAAGACATTGAGGAGTCCAAGGCAGCCTGTTGAAAGCCTAAGTCCCTGGTCAGTCAAAAATTAGAAGAGGGCTGCTTGAGACTGACCCAGTTTGGGCTTGGATCTATCACTTCTGAACCACCCCAGCCACTCCTCTGCCGTCATTACCCACAAGGCACAGCCTTGGGCTGGGAGCTGGAAATAGCCTTGTATGTGTTTACCCTGCAATTACACGCTACGTTAAATGCTCTGCAAGAACATGGCGATCACCCTGCAATTAACTGGGCCTGTTTCCTGGGCAAGGAGGATGGAGACAGCTACTGAGGGACATCAGTGTTGCCTGGTTTCTCAATGGACCTGGGGGTCACCTTGTGACTTATGCCACTGTTTCTGGATGGAGGAGCCAGCTCCACAAGGGACAACTCCCTCAGCTGTTAGGGAGAGAGGCTGAGTATAAGTCAGCCCTGAGCCTCATGCACTGTGGGCTTCTGTATGACATGGTGTGTGAGCAGGGCTCTGCCTGGCTTCTCTTCCTTGGGGCCTCCTCACGCACTCATATTTCAGTACTTAGCATCTCAATGTCCTGAATCCCATTCACCTATGTATGATACAGTTCCTGTCATGGTGACCCAGTGAATTCCTAGCTACCTTCCAAGCTCTGGCTCAGACGTGACATCCTTTGGTAAGTATGTTTTGAAGGGGAGACTGTATACAAAAGTAAAAGGCTGGGGTTGAATGTGGCTTTTGTTACATAATAGCTCTGAGACTTCAGGCAAGTCACTTGACCTCTCTGAACTTGTGTGTGTGTGTGTGTGTGTGTGTGTGTGTGTGTGTGTGTGTGTGTGTGTTTGTACCTGGTTATCACTTCCTACATCATATGAACATATGTTTATTTGCGTGTGTGTGGAGTGGTGGGGGGACTCAAAACCTTCTCGTTTGGGACATTCTCATTTTGGTAGGGTGTAGGCATGGCACTTGACTCAACAGGATGTGCATGCAGCATTGGCCAATCAGTGATTCAGTGAGCAACCTTCCAGTCTACCCTGAAGGTGCTATTTAAAGCTGTGAGTGTGTGATCACACTTGTGCTTGTGTTCCCAGTTCACTAAACTCCCTGCAGGTGAGCTTGTGTGTGAAAGGCTGTGCATGCACACAGTATTAGTGCACCATGGGAGTTGGTCTCCTGTGGCCAGCGAGTCCGGAAAACAGGCTCCTCAGGTTGTGCAGGTGGATGGAGAATACTGGTAGAAGGCATTAAGGAAAGAATTATTACATATTTACTGCCTCTGTCATTTTCTCCTAATTACATCTTGGCAAGCAGTGTCTCCTGGATGAGTTTTAAATTTTAGTGTCTTTAAAAATGTAATAATAAATCAACATGAGTCACAGCAGCCAAAACCACTAGAGAAGGGCTCAGTTTGGTGGCACCCCAACCAGCCACTTGGCTTCATTCCCCATTGCCTTCAGTCTTTGGACATGACCCTGGATCCACATCAAAAGTAGGTGGACAGTGCCAGGTCCCACCACTGAAGTAGAATTGATTCTATGCAGAGCCACGCAGGATTCCAGAGTCCACACAGGCTGCCAACTTCTCATGAGGCACTGGGAAGAGGAAGCTGGGTGTGTGTTCCCTGGTCAGTAGCCTCTGTTTCTGGACTGAAGAGTCTGGACAGGGCTCCATGGCCCTCAGTGGGGAACAGTTTTGCGCCTCAGAGATGTTTTGAATGGGTACATCTGATATTCATGTATGCAATCGACATCTAATGAAGTGAAGGCCAGGAAGAATGCTAAATAAACACTCCACAATTTGTGAGGCGCCCCTCCCCTGATGGGCAGTACTGAATGGCAGTGACACATAGGGGACCCAATCTGAGTCTTGTCCTTATTGTCAAATAATGAGGCTCCCTGGGGCTTCAGTTTTCAGGCCTCCTCTCATTCTTTTCTTCCCTATTCTGTTTGCTGATGGTAAGGACACTGGGGCACACACACTCAGAATCTATGCTCTTCTGACTTCCTTTCACACAACCTACTCCTTCCTGGTTGGTCATAACCACTGAGATCATGTGGCCCTTACTGTAGACTGGAGTGGACACTGGCCTTGTCAGCTCATGGACACATGCAGCTGTCATCCCTTCTCTCCTCCCCTCTCCTGCCTTCCCAATACCTTCTCTTCCAACCCCTCTGTTCCTGTCCCCTTCTTCTTTCCTCTCCATCTTCCCCATCCCTGTCTCATTGGTGACACTAGGGATCAAGTCCAGGGCCTTGCACATGTGTGGCAGTAACTCTGCTCTTAAGCTGCCTCCTTAGCCCTTTTCTCTTTATTTTGAGAGAACAGCTCACTAATTTGCCCAGGCTAGCCTTGAACTTGTGATCCTTCTGCCTCAGCCTCTCAGGAATCTGGCTTTATGTGGCTTCCTCTTCTCTTGAGAAAAGACTCATGCTTCTCTTATTTGCTCCAAGGATCCATCAGAGACAGCCAAGCTGATGCTTCATCAGACCGGCCTTGCATGGCAGGAAGGAGACCAGTGTGTCCTCATCTTCAAGACAACCTGAGAGTCATTGCAGCTTTCCTGGGACCATTACAGACACCCAGCAAAGTTTGGCCTACTGGTTTTTAATTATTAAAGGCCATGGCATGGACAAGACCCAAGGGAGGGGTCCCAGGATTCTGTACATATTCTGTATGTATGCACATGTGGATATTTGTGCATTGACTCTCTCCTTCCCCCAACTTCTACATGTGAATGATTTGCCCACCGTGTGGAATTTCATGACCCAATCTGCTTGTCCCCAACATTTTCAAAGACCCCCAAATTTACAAAGGCCCTGAATTGATGTGATTTTCTTCTTTTTCAGTACATTTCCAACCTAACATGCACAGTATTGCTTTCTAATTTACTGTTTATCACTTACCGTATCTTCCCCTTGGGACTGTGAGTCCCACAAGGATGAATAACTTGCCTCTCCCATGACTGTGTTACAAGTGCCTAAACAGCACCTGACATGTGACAGTGCAGGCTCTGAGCACTGGCTGATCAAGTATCCCACCAAATCATCAGTGCAGGTCAGCATCACTTCCTGAAGACACCAAGCCACAGAAAGGGTTGCCTTCTGACTTCTTCCCCTAAGGAGCCCCTCTGCTTGACCAATTATTGATGCACATTTTCTTGGAAAGTCAGTTGTAACACACCAAGAATCCAGTCCTCATCCCTTTTCCTCAGTCCCTCAAGGCCTGCTTAGAGTCATCCCTGATGGGATTCAGGCTGATGAGTTCCACAAATTTGTTATCCCCAGTGTCACGCTTTCTTGAGATCCACACTATGACTCTGGGAATGGCTGAACGCCTGCTATTCCCTAAAGTGCCCAGATGCTGCCAGGGAGCAGAGCACCAGGTTTCACACCATGCCTTTCCACAGCAGACGTTCCACAGATTGCAGTTACCCCCAGAGTCATCTTCCCTGGTGAGTCTTAATCTTCTTTTTATACAAACAAGAGTGTGAGCTTTGGAGAACAAGTAGTTTAGAGACCTGGGATTCCAAGAGAGGGCGGCCAGGCTCTACAGCTATACCAACATAGAAAATCTGTGGAGTAGCATGCTAAACATGGGAGCACAAGACCAGAGACCAGGAAACTGGGTGCATGCTTCTATCCTGAATGCCTTCCCCATTATCATGTGCAGCCACATCAATGACAGGACAGTCACTGTCAATGTGCACCCCAAGTTGTTACTCTACTGATCATCATGCTAAGTACCTCACATGGTACTCTACTGATCATCATGCTAAGTACCTCACATGGTTTAAGTCATTTACTTCTGACAAGTCTACAGATGGACCTCACTGTATACAGAATCAGCCAGTGATGCAACATGTTAACTGGCCACAAATCATATAGCAATGGAGCAGCTGAGTCATTTACACCAGTATCAGGGAAATGTGTCAGACAGGCCACCTGCTGGCACATCAGAGCATGGCTACTTTGCTCTCAGGAGCAAGTGGCCATGCTCTGATGCTGAGCCCTGACTGACTCCAGTTTTCTCTGCCTTTGCTCCTGAGGTCAAGCCAAGGCCCTTCAGCACATCACCCCAGACTTTGATTTAGCTTCCCAGGGCTCTGATGCATCCCATTTCTTATGGGCATCACTTCTTGTGGCAGTTACCGCCTGCAGCCTCTGCAGCCCTCTCCCATCTTCTTCAGAGGATCCACATTGGTTACCAGGTACTAAAAAGGTTTTGTAGGCCATCATATTCAGTCCTTTTACTTGATGTTTAGTGAACATCTGACCTAGAGAAATTACAACCTGCCTGACAGATGCATCCCGGGCCTAGCAAACTTATTCCAATAGCCCTTTAAAGGAATTTTATTTATATTATGTATAACTATGTGTAGGTATATGTGTAGGTATATATGTATCTGCATGTAGGTATGTGCAGAGGCCAGCAGTTTCAGATGCCTTGAATCTGCTTGACATGGGTGCTGGGAACCAACTCAGGTCCTCTAGAAAACTAGCAAGTGCTCTTAACTGCTATTTTCAATCCCCCCACTCTTTAACCTAGTAGCCCATTAACCAGCCTTTAAGATTTTTTGAGCACCTACTGAATGGACATACCAGAGGCAATCAATTCTGTGACCACTGGTGGGCTTAGCACTGGTGTCCACTCATGCCTCTATCCACTCAGGTCTTCATTGAACACATCCTTAGACTCTAGGGATCCAAAAGTCAAAATGGTGACCTGTTCTAATGCTGACGGGAATTTTGTTTGCTTGCTTCAATACACACAATTTTAGAAAACAAATAACAACTAATTGCTCAAAAAGATGATGAGATAATCAAAACCCTGTGGCATTTGGTCATGTACGAGGTAGCTGCTGCCGTGATGTTGAGACAGGCAAGCCAGGGGATCAAAGGAGACACGCTTGAGGAATGGACATCTATAAGAAGGCTTAAGGATAGTGAGCATTATTTAGGCAAGAAAGACATGGGAAGAGTGAAGCAAGCTCAGAGGACTGAGGTAGGAAGAATACAATGGTTTACAAACTGTAGCAGTATCGTATCATATAAGATAGTATGGCAGATACGGTATAGAATGTGTGCATGGTATGAACATGCACCTCTGAAGGGCAAGCCTCTTTCAAAGCAAGCAGCTAATACTTGGTGGCTGCCTATTGTTTATCAGTCCTATATGCTATCACAGTATAAGAACAATCCCATTCTTCAGTGGAGAAACTGAGACAAAGGAAGAAGGAGACTTGCAGAACAGTTCCTTAGCTGGCATTTTTAACCCTCCATGCAGCTTGGTCCTGTTATTGTCACCTCTCTTTGCCACGTTTCCAGCCTGCATGGGTTCTCATCTGTCGTTTCAAATGACCCACTAGGTAATGACATCCACATTGCCATTCTCCCAAGAGAACTCCTAGGATCTGGGAACCAAGCCCACCTCTGTCTGCCAGCAGGGGAAGCCCAGTCACCTTCTGAGCTGTGATTTACACTTCCCAACTGTCTTGTCCTTCAGGCTAAGCCAAGCCTTTGTCCCAAATTGCTCCCATACCTGGATTATCTGTTCTAGCTACTTCCATTTCCCTGCTTTTCCCTCCTAACATGTCTTCTTAATAAATCGGAGGAACATATCATGGGCACTGCTCTGGGGAACCCAACATTAAAGAGAATCCAACTTGAGTGATTCATAAAGGTTTTCCCTTGCTAGTAGAGCTGTGATAATATCAGCAGCAGGAAAGCATAGTGTGGGAGTGGGGATGACATGTTCAAGAGCAGGGACATCCCTGGGAGTGCAGAGAAGAGGGCTACCTGAAGGGATGTGAAGCATAAGTTAGACTTACAAGTGTGTTTGATCTGTAACCTCAGTGTAGAAAGCAGCACACAGGGCAGGGGTACCACACAGGTACTTGTAAAACTCAAGGATTTGTCTTGCCTTGGTTTAACTATGGAAAACAGTACAAGAAATGAGATCCCAGCTCCCAAGGACAGAGTGGCTTTTCGGTATGAAGCCAAGGAGGCTTTACCAGAGCCCTGCACCCATATCACTATGTTGTACATATATTTTCTCTAAATTGAAAGATGAGAGAGAGAGGCTCCTTAAGATTCTGGGAGTAAATACAACTCACAAGGCTCAGAAAGCTTCTGAAACCCAGGAGGTTTACAAGGCACCTCCCTAAGATTTTACGATCATCAAGTAGCTGCTGGTAAAAGAAACTTGAGCTTCCCAAAAGCCATTCAGAGACCAAGGGTTGCAGTCTTCATGAGTCATCACTCAAGCTAGAGTGGGCTTTGTAGTGAGGCTGCTGCTCTTGAGTAATTCGTGCTGCTGGAACACCTTACCAGCATTCCTATACATATCCCTAGTAAACTCACTTGTCCGTTAAGCTAGACTTGGGTGGAGTCTTTTCTTGGGTCTTTCATCTGTGCTGCATCTGAGGTGAATAAACATTTGTTCATGTTTCCCCAGGAAAAGGCATTCTATGGGTAGACACACCACAGATCCAGTTCCACACTCATACTTCCCAGCGATGGACTTAAAAGGGCAATTCAGGCCACTCAACATTGAAATAAAGGAAGTCATCTTGAGACTTAAATGACACTAACCCCCAGAGGTTCATATATTTGAATGCTTACTCAGCAAACACCAGCTTTTTATTTTGATGTTTTTCATGTAGGTTGGGCAATTGATACTGACCACAGGGTTGACCTTGGGCCTCATTGTATAGACTTGGGAAACAGCTGAGTAGATAAAACAGATAAAGACTCAAAGGCTCTGAAAATAATTTTTGAGCCCATTGCCTTCATTGTTTTCCCATAAGGAGCCCAACTCAGTTTAGCTGTACAAACATTTACAGGTGAGACACAATGGGAAAGGGGAGGCTGTGGGAAATAAGATACAGCAACTGCCTTGGGAGGTTAGGGGTTTCTCGGGGGGGGGGACACTGAGAATCACAACCAGAATGCAGCCTGGGAAGAGCTGAATAAGGGGTGTGAAGTGGGTGCCAAGGCAGGAGTAATTGGTTTTGCCTAGAGCACTTTGACAAGAAGCAGCTAGACTGCCACATCTCTCCCAGAGCATTAAACACACATAGTAATTTTCCAAATGAATTAACCATGAATGATGGCATATACTTATTAGTTCAAAGACATTAATTCAAAGACAAAAGGAAATGCCACCCTCCTATCTTAACCCCAAATTTCTAGGTCATGATGCTAAAAAAGAATAAGAGGATGAAGAATAGCTGATTTGGATACAGAATTTTCTAGAATCCAAGTCAAACAGCTTCTAAACCACATAGATGATCTGTGATGTCATTTGGGAGAGTTCACCAGTATAATGAAAACATCAGATCACTCTTGTATGAGTGAATTGGTTTGAAGCTTGGTGTTGACGTGTTAGGGGAAAGCTATTTTATTCCCTCTGAACCTAACAGCCACTGTAAGGGTCAGAATAATAAAACTAGGAAATGGTTCTTAGAGTCAGCTGGTTCAAACCCCTCTTTGGCTTTGCTGATATGGAAAACACACCAGAGAAGGAAGTGAACCTGGACAAGTAGCTGAGAACAACCAGGCTAAGGTCCTGGGGCTCCTGATCCACCATGAATGTTTCTGCCATTTGCCTTACAATGAACCATTTGTTCCAACTCTCCCAGTTCACATAGCCTCCGGCCACACACCTACACACACACACACACACACACACACACACACACACACACACACACGTAAATTGATCCCCATGTGGCCCACCACTTTCTCTTCATGGCATCTCACAGGGTCTGGTCTCCAGGGGACCATAATCTGGCAAGGAAGAAAAATCCAAATGT